TGAATTGCGCTCTCCGCTCCACGTAATCATTGTCATTTTTAATTGCTTCATTTTATACTATTGTTACGTTTATATACAAACAAGAAAGTTAGTTGAATTTTTTTTTTAAAACGCACGTTGACCTATGAAGAAATTTTTGGGTACTGTTAAAGCATTTTTAATACAAAAAATTGAAAAAAGCAAACAGCAGACAGCGCTTTGTTTCTTCTTGTCGTATAACAAACATATAGTGCCATTTTCCTCTCCTGTTTCTCTTTTTTTTTTTTCCATTTTTTTTTTAATTGTTATTCTCCTTTAAGTTCTTAGTATTCCCTTAAGTTACATAAAGTCTTTTTATACGGTTTTATACTAAATTGTTTTCATTTCAATTTGTTATGGATTTGAATTATACTGGATTTTGAAACTGATCAAACTTGTCTGTATTACCTTTATAATAAGTTTTATAAAGTTTCATTAAATCGTATTTAAGAGTTAAATAAATTTTGATAATATTAAAAAGGTAAGTATTAAAAAATATATTATTTAAGAAATTTTTTTATTATATTATATTATTATTAGTATTTTTTGCATTAAAACATTTTTTTAAAAATTATAAATGATTATTTATTTAATAATATAATTATTAATATATATATAATAAATATATATTATATATATATTTATATGATTTAAATACTTACAAAATTGTTGGATATTTTTAGAAATTTTAGATATTAAATAATCTAAACAGTTGAAATGCAAACATATCGATTATATATAGATATATAAATAAAGTGAGATAAAGATAATGTGAAAAAACGCAGCTGATCAATTAACAATATTATATTATTGTATTATCACCGAATCTGTAATAAAAAATTTAGAGAAAATCTATTTACATGATTTTAGATATACTATTGAATCTATTAAAATTTTATCGCAATATAATAAATAATGCATTATATATCAAGATATGTTATAAAAAAAATTTTTTTTAACTTTTTATTTTATATATCTAATACGATAACTTGAATAAATATTTTAAACTCTTCTTTAAGTACTTCATTGAAATGTTTGATTATGGATAATTGATACTACGATAAATTAACTTAAAAAATAAAATATATAATATTTTTATATATCAACTTTTGTTTTTATTTCGTTATCTAGAATTTTTGTTAGAAAAATATATTATATTTTTATAAACATCTTATAATTATGTAATTATGTATGTTCTTTTTCTAAAGATATAACAAATTTATTTTTTATTTTCTATTTTTAATTAATACATTTTTAAAAAACTATGGATGAGAGACGGATCATTTAATTTATGATATTATAATATTACTTTTTATTTAGCGAGATATTAAAATCGATTTTAATATTTCTTTTTCTTTAACAATAGAAACATAAGTAATTTTAAAGATATTTTAAAAAATATTTTCTTATAATATAAATATTAAATGTCAATGAATATAAAATGCGATTTTCTGAAATAAAAAATATATTGAAATCACATTCAGTGACATCTTTGAAGCTGCATAATAATTAAATTTACAGGTCATTGCTACTTGACTTTTTGTAATTTAACGGAATGATAATTTTACTTGTGATAATGCAATACTGAAGTGTATTGATAAGATTTATTTTTTCTTTTTTTTAAGCAAAGATAATTGTGCATTTTGATGTGAATGATTTGTGAAGTTAACATGTCTGAAAAAGATCAACAAATTTTAAAACAATTTTATAATTGTTGTATTTTACGTGATGGAAAAATTTTAAACGAAGATTTATGGGTTCGTGATGGAAAAATTGTAAATCCAGAGAAAATTTTTTATGATGAAAAGATAAAACCAAATATAAGAATCAATTGTAACGGAGCGTTAATTTCTCCTGGGTACATTGATCTTCAGATTAATGGTAAATCAATAATAAATTGAAATAAAAATATAAAATTTATTTTATTTGCATAAATTTTTTTTTACATCAAAATTATTATCAAAAAATTTTTAGTTTTGAATAATAATAATATATAAAAATAATAAAATATAATATATAAATATATATAAAAATATATAAAAATAAAAAAAACATTACAATAATAACTATAAAACTAAATATATTATGTTAATTTTAGATAGCATACTGTATTTTAAAATATTTGTAGATATAATAGAATGAATATTTATATAATGTTAATTATAATAAATAATAATTTAATTATATTATGGAAATTATTATATACATAATTGTAATTATTATTTTATTTATTTTAGGCGGATTTGGCATAGATTTTACACATAATGTTAACAATGTACAAGAAGGAATTAATAAAGTAGCCAAAAAATTATTAGAATTTGGTGTAACATCATTTTGTCCAACTTTGGTTACATCACCTAGTGAAACTTATCATAAAATAATTCCAAATATTAAAAGAACCAAAGGTGGAAAACATGGTGCAACTGTATTAGGTATTCATTTAGAAGGACCATTTATTAGTCCAAGTAAAAAAGGAGCTCATTTAGAGTGCCACATAAAACAATTTGAAAAAGCAAGTTTTACAATTATTTTTAATATGTACATCTTATATTGTGTTATGATTTTAAAAAAATTTAAAATTTTTTTATTAATATTATTAGATTTTTATTAATATTTTTTATTTATCTCAATATGAATTTTAGGGTTACAAATCATTAACTGATATGTATGGAAGTTTAGAAAATGTAAGTCTTATTACATTGGCACCTGAACTTCCCAATACCCAGTCTGTGATCATAGAATTATGTAAAAGAAATATTAAAGTTTCTCTTGGTAAGAAATAAATTATCATTTTTATTAATTTAATATCATTGTAAATTTAAATATTTTAGGACATTCTGTAGCAAATTTGAAAGAAGGAGAAGAGGCTGTAAAAAGTGGAGCATCCTTTATTACTCATCTTTTTAATGCAATGTTACCAGTAATTATATAAAATATGAGAATCATTTTTTATTTTAAGAAGAATGCAATATTATAAAGTAAATAATAAATTTATATTTATAGTTTCATCATAGAGATCCAGGATTAGTTGGTCTCTTAACATCTGATCAAATCTTCCCTGGAAGAATTATCCATTATGGTATAATTGCAGATGGTATTCATACCCATCCAGCTGCTTTACGTATAGCTCATAGAACTCATCCTGAAGGTTTGTATATTTTTTTCTATTATTATTTATCTTTCTTTTACATACATACATATATATTTATTCAATCATTTTCATTCTCAAACTCAATTTTTATATTTTTTTAAAATTATTTAAATTAGAATATAATAATAAGATAATAAGTTTACTTGAATTTTTCTTCTATATATATATATATATATATATATATATATATTAGTATATATATACTATATATATACTATAATAATTATCTAATTTTAATTTGTCTATTTAATAGATAATTTAATAAATAATTAAATTTTATATTATATGTTTTATATTCATATAAAATAAATATAAAAATTTATTAATTAAATAATTATTTAATTTTATATTTTAGGATTAGTTCTAGTTACTGATGCATTGTCAGCATTAGGATTAGAAGAAGGAGTACATCAATTAGGACAGCTTAAAATCGAAATACGCTCGGGACGTGCATATATTGCTGGAACGGATACATTGTGTGGGAGTACAGCGGAAATGACGAAATGTGTTCGTCATTTCAAAGAAGTAACAGGTAGTTCAAATATTTATATAATATTTATGTCATATGGATTTCTTTTATTTAAATTAATTCTTTTTAAAAAGAAAATTTTATTTTTAACAAATTTTCTATTTTCTAGGTTGTTCAATAGTAGAAGCTTTAGAAGCAGCAACTCTTCATCCGGCAAAAACTCTCGGTATTGAAAGAACGAAAGGAACTTTGAACTATGGAGCAGATGCTGATATAGTAATGTTAGATAATGATTTAGAATTATTGTCAACATGGATATCAGGAGAATGTGTTTATAATAAACACAAATGCTGCCGATGATATATATTATTTGAATAAATATGATTTAAAATATGATTCCACGAAATTCGAAAAATCGATTCGAAATAATTGTTAATATTATTCGAAATGGTGGTGGAATTGATTTTATAAAATAATAATTGTTTATCTAGAAAATTGTATAAACATTCAATTTATAACATTTATATGTCTCAAATATCACAGTTTTCTTGCACAATGGCTGTGAATATTGTTGTAATATTTTGTTCATTTATGTATTTATATTTATGTATTATACATATATTTTGTATAAAAAGTTTTTTAGAAATGTATATTTTACTATATAAAAAAACCTAGAAAATTATGGAAATTAAATTTAAGTTTTATTATTTATGAAATAAAAGTGAAATATATTTATATCTTTATAACAAAAAGACAAAAAATTTTTTATAATTTTTGTCTTAAAATTAAAAATATTCTACATGAGATATAAATAGAATATATCCATTCTAAATAAAAATTAATTGCATTAATTACAAAACATTTAAATAAGAAATAGTTTTAAAATAATAAATAAATTATTTTTTATTCATTATTTTTTGTATCATTTATTAAAAAATATTTTTAATCAAATTGAATATAAATATAAATTTATATTACCAAAAAAAATAATTTTTTTTTTAGTAATATTTATTTTGTTTTTTCAAAAATCATACATTTAAAATAAATAAAAAGAGAAATTTATTTATTATTATTTTTATTTATTTCATAAATATAAATGTTATGTGAAAAATATCATCTATAATCAATATTATCTATATTCATAATTATCACAATTTATGCCAAAAATAAAATTATATGATTAATTTAATATATTTAACAATATTTTTATTTTTATTTTTGATAACATTTTAATATTTAACAATACTAATATTTTAATTATGCAATATTTTGTAGTTATTTTAGCAAAGTATTAGAAAATAATTTATTCATATGAAAAATAGTTATTTTTCAATGAGATTTTATATTATTATATTATTATATTGCTCATTATTTTATGTTGCTATTTTGTTATATATTGATCATTATATTATTAATTTATTTATAAAATAAAATAATGATTAAAGCTGAATTACATAAAATTTCTTATATTAATAAACGGTGTCCTTCAAATTGCATATGTACGGCGAATGTCTAATACCAAATGAATGTGCTGGAGGAATGTCAAGAATTACCTGCAAAATAAATATTTCATAAAAAATTAATGTTATAATATAAAATCCAATCAAGAATTATTTTCAAAATTGAATTAAAATCCCAAAAGTATTTTCCAATATAAAAATATTGAGATTCTTAAAATTCATCAATCAAAATATTTTTACATACTCATCTTATTAAATTATATAAACTAAAAAATATATTTATAATATAGTCCATATTTATTATTTATTAAATTTATTTTTGAATTTGAATTTTTTATGCTGAGATTTCTACGATTTAATACGAACCCATAATTTCGAGTTTTTGTATATCTTTAAAAACAATACAATTTATAATAGCAATACAATTTATTCAAATGAAATCTATTAAAAAAGTTTTAAAATTTTTGAATTGTTTAGTTAATTATATTAAAATAGATTAGAAAAAAATTAGAAATACTTTTTCTGGACAATGTGCACCAGGTCCTGGAATCTGCGAATGATCGTCAGGCAGTTGATAACGAGCACTTATACTATAAGCAGGACTTTTTATTCTAACTGAATCCGGTTTAACAGCTTCATATGTTCCAGGTCCAGGAACTAAAATGCGATCATCAGTAGAATCTTTTTGTCTACCAGATATTGAATAAGCTGGTGCTGTTTTTTTATTTCCTTCCTTTGTTCCGCCGAGAGTAGAAGGAATATTATAAACATTTGGAGCTAAAACATAATAAACATAAAAACAAAATATTTATAATATTATATTAATTAACAAAAGTTAATATAACTCTTTTAATGATATAAAAACTAAAATCTTTTTTTATAATTACGATTAAAAAAATTATTACTATGATTAATTATGTAATTATATAATATGTATTATGATTAATTTAATTAATTTTAAAGTATATATGAAAAAATTTGTTTTTTTTAAATAAGAAATATTAAATAATATTATGTTACAAATACATAACAAGAATATTTTTTATCTTAATAATAAATGTTACTTTCATAATATATTTATACAGAAAATTTTATGAGAAAACGTGCGATGCAAAAAAGAAAATGATAATAAGAAAATAGAAATAGAAAAAGCGAATCTTGTAAATTTACCTGGAATATCATTTGATTTATTTATATTTGTTCTAAGACCAAAAGTAAATAGCAATGCTTTTTCTAATAAAAGCATAGCTTTCTCTGGACTATATTCACCAGGACCTTTAAACCAAATATTAAATCTATTTAACAAATACAAAAAACAAAAAATATATTAAATTTTATATACTATACCTGGTATAGAATTTGTTTCATGTATTTCAGTCTTAATTCCAAAACTATATTGGGGTGATTTATTTAAATTTACCTTTTCAGGATGGTAACTTCCTGGAGCTAGATTTTTAATATATTAAAGCAAATAACTTTTATATATTAAATTATAAATTCTATATAAATTCTATATAAATTCTATTTATAAATTTTATGTTTAATAAATAATAATATAAAAATAAAAGTATAAAAATAATACTTAATATTACTCACCAGGTATATCATTATTTTTTTTTAAAGATGTTTTTAAACCAAATGAATATTGTGGTGATTTATCTAAATTAACTTTTTCTGGAGAATAAGTACCAGGAGCTATAAAATAAAAAAAAAATACTGATGCAATGTTAAAAAATATAACAAAAAAATATTTCAATTTATACACAAATTATAACATAATATATGTTATAAGACATATCACTAATGATTTTTATTTACAATATTTTTATATTTTCATATGTTTATGTACAATTATTTAAAATAAAATATATAAAATTTAAAAAATTTTAATATTAAGTGAAATTTATAAAAAGCTTGTAATTTTAAAATTATTTAGCTATTTAATTAATATATTCAGCAATAATATTAATTAAATATTAATTATAAAGTTATAAAGTTATAAAATTATAAGCAAGAAGAAAAAATTTGTAAAAAAAAGCAGAAGCTTTGATATGTTTTAAAATAAAAATTTCAATATATTAGAAACATAAGATTTTTGTTAAAGAATGTTTTAAATTTTGGAATAGATGTTATTAATAATTTGTTAATCAACACCATTACCTGGTGTATCTTTAGGCTTATCCAAAGGTTTTCTATTACCAAAACTGAAATAAGGTTTATGTTCCAAATTTACTATTTTCTCTGGATAGTAATCAACAGGGCCTACCAAAGCAATCAAAACATTAGTTGTTTCTACAGAATGTTAAAACCTATACCAATGAATTTTCAAAATAAGAAGCTCCAGCAATTTACCAAATAAAATTCACCTGGATTTTCATTAAACTTTTTTGGTAATCCTTTACCAGATAAACTGAATTGAGGACCTTTGTCTAAATTCATTTTCTCAGGACTATATGTTCCTGGTGCTATTAGAAAAATTAAATATAAGAAGACATTAATCTAAAACAATAATATATTAAATAATAATCAATACAAAAAATATTAAAAAAAAATAAAAAATGTTCACCTGGATTATTGTTTGGTTTTTCTGAAATCCCTTTCCCATACAAACTATATTGTGGACCTTTATTTAAATTTACTTTCTCAGGACTATATGTTCCAGGTGCTTTACAATAAAAAAAAATCATAAATTCTATCCAGTAAGAATTTAATGTTAATTAGAAATTTTTATATAATTAAATAATAATAAAATAAATAAATATAAAATAATAAAGAAATAAGAAATTTAGTTATACTAACCAGGAATATTATTTGGTTTTTCAGAAAGTCCCTTACCACTTAAACTATATTCTGGACCTTTATTCAAATTTATTTTTTCTGGACAATAATCTCCAGGTGCTATAGAAAAATAATAAAAAGGCAATAAAGTAATTAATTCTTTTATAAATTTCTTTACTGACAAATGAAAAAATAATAATAAAAATAATAGAATTCTAATATTTATACCTGGATTAGTATTTGGTTTATCAAGAAATGTTCTTAATCCAAAAGTATATTGTGGTGCTTTATCAAGATTTACTTTTTCAGGAGCATAAGTTCCTGGTGCTAAAAATTTTACAAAATTTTTTTTACAATTATATTTTATAAAATTATTAGATATTTTTTCAATATAATATTTAATATAATAAAATTTTTAATTTTTAATAAAAATTATATTCATATATGAATATATTCATATATTCATAAAAAATTTTTAATAAAAATTATATTCATATAAAAATTATATTCATATATATATTTATTTTTAATTTTAACCCAATAATTACAGATTAAAATTTTGAATTTCAAGAAAATAGACTATCATTTAATTGTTTAATTTTCAAAAAAATTATCTAAATTATATATTTTATTTGAATTAAATTTTTCGAGATTATATATATCAAAATAAAATGAGTATATATTAATATAAAAATAAAAAAAATTAAATCTTTTTCTTTGCAATTACCTGGAGTATCATTTATTTTTTCAAGGGGAGTCCTCAGTCCAAAAGTAAATTGCGGCGTTCTATCCAGTTTTACATTTTCCGGACAATACATACCTGGTGCTGAGAATAATTTCTTTTTATAATTTATTAATTAGATAGTTTAATAATTTATCAAAAATATTATCTTTCTTATTTTTTTACATATTTTTTTAAATTATTTTTAATATGTTTAAATATTTTTACAAAACTTAATATTTATTTATTTATAATGAATTTTTTAAATTTAATTTTTTAAATTATTTATTTTTTTATTATTTTATACATATATATTTTTATTTTTTTATGTTTTAATAAATTATTGAAATTTGTATATCAGGTATATTATCAGGTTTCTCTACTCGACCTTTTCTAGTAAGACTATATTGAGGATCCTTATTTAAATTGACTTTTTCAGGATAATACAAACCAGGTGCTATAAAAATAAGTTGAAATATGTGAATGGTAATATAATTACCAAATATTATTACAAGTGCAGAATGAACATATCATCATACATGTCATCACAGATAAGATGAAATGTAAAATAAACCTATATTATAGATAAGATCTCGTCTATGATCTTTTATTATGTGAAATATCATATGAAATCTTTCTGTGATAATATGTTTATCAAAAAAGACAAGACAATTACTATTTCATTGACCAAACAAATACATGCTAAATTTATCATAAACTTATATTTACTAAGATATTTAATAAATTTTATTAAATTATACAATTATATTATTGAAAAAATAATAAATCTAAATTTATTATGGATATTTTCTGTTCTTAGAAAAATTACTAATTTTAATATTTGTGAATGATTCAAATAACAAAAGTTTGGTTAACGAAATTTTAATCAAATATTTTAAATTTTTGATTACCTGGATTATCACTCGGTTTTACGAGAGGAGGCCTAACTCCAAAACTGTATTGCGGTGTATTGTCCAATCTTACCTTTTCGGGATGATAAGTTCCAGGTGCTGATATTATAATATATCAATATTAATTACATTTATTTTCAGAAATAAATAATAGCAGAAAAAAAAACAATAAAAATAAAAGATAATATATTTCATAATAATTAAAATAAAAGAGGGAAAATTTATAAAATAAAATTTGTAAAACAATTTGAAAAATATTTTTCTATAATTATAAAAAAATGCATTAATATTTTTTTATAACTTTTTGTTAAATAAATTATAATATAATCATATATAACTAATATGATTAAATAAATATCAGAATTGCATGCAAATATATAATAAGCATCGTTTTTGTTAATACCTATCTATCTGCAAAAAATATATAAATATAATTTATAAAAAAATTTAAATAGCAAGGATGCGATATTAATCATTAAGCTACGATTGCAAAATAAAATAAGAAGCTAAATAATATTATCGTTATTTAAAGATCTAAGAATACCTAAAAGTTTATTCTTCGAACATCTAAAATTGCGCTTATGCAAAAATTCTCCATTCTGGCAATTCCTACAATCAATGGATACTTATGCACTATTTTCGATATTGATTTTTTCAAGAGATTCACAAATGCACACGAAGTTAATAAAATTATAAAAAAATACGTCTAATTTAATAAAATTAATACATGTGTGATTTCTTAAATTTATTGTAGAAAATGTGCATTATTTGCGATAAACTTTTGTTATAGGAAATGAAATTATTTTTTATCATTGATTTCTTTTTATTCCAATATTTTAAATTAAAATAAGAAAAAATGAAAATTTCTATATATTTGATTATTAAATGAGATAATTTAAAATAATTTTATTTTAGTCTCTTAAGTCTTATTTTTTTCAAAATTCAAAGAATTGATTAACAATATTAAAATATTATAATAAATATATTAAAATATTATTATTTAATTATTCTCTGTAAAGATATAAAATTGTATAGATTTATATAAGATTTAGATTATTTTGATATACTTAATTACCAGGTATATCGCTTGGTTTGTCCAGTACAGATTTCAAGCCGAAACTGTACTCGGGCGATTTGTCGATATTCACTTTTTCGATGCAATAGTCATTCGGCGCTACGATCAAGATGATATGATTATCATCGATATTTATCATAATAATTTTTGGATAAAATTGATAACCAAACATGCAAGAAAATGCAACAGAAATTTTTCACAATTATAAATTATTACAAAAAATCAATATTTTAAACTAAATTTCATTAAGTTCATTCAATTAAGTTCAAAAAAAAAATAATAAAGAAAGATTTTCGTGCACGTCATATATATTCTCAATCACATTTTAATATTTACCTCAAAATTATTACAATTTCACGATTATTATAATTTATTTATTGATTTTAAAAAATTAAAAAATTAAGAAAATAATTTTTGTTTCTTAATATAAAATTAACTTTTCTTAATTCTATTTTATTGCAATATATATACACGAAATATACTCACCAGGTGTACAACTAATTTTTTCAGTTTGAGTTTTGATGCCAAATGAGTATTTTGGTGAGTGATCCAAAATAATCTTTTCTGCCTTTTCTGGATTATAATCACCAGGCGCTGGTGTGATTTCCTGTTTCGTGAATTTCGTGCGGCTATGTAACGATGATGCTGGTGCTGCATCTTTTCCTATCAATTTTATTAATAAATTTTCAAACTTATCAATAAAAAATTAACATTAAAATTTAAAAATTATTAATTTAACATTTTAAACATTAATAAGAAATTTAAACATTAATTAGAAATTTAAATAAAAAAAAAAACAAATTTAGAAAACTAATTAGATTAAGATTTAAAATATTTATATCACATAAAATATTTAAAAGAATTTTAAAATATTTATATATTTATTTTTTAATGTTTTTGATAAAAATATTTTTTAATATATAAAAAAATTCATATATCCAATATATTATTTATTTTTTGTTTAATAACATAGTTGCATCACACATCAAGAATAAAATAAAATATTTTAATAGAAGATATCTATAATATCAACAGATCAAATTTTTATAATAAAATAAAAAAACAAATTAATATAATATTTAATATAATATTTAATACAATATTTAATATAATATGTTTCATAAGTAAATCTTTTTAATTTTAATATTCTTTTATAAAATAAAAAATTAATTGTTAATAAAAAATTAATTGTTAAATACAATTAAAAGTTCGTTTTGTTAAATATACTATGATAAAAAAAAATATAAATATTATCAAAAATTTATAAACATGCATTATTAAAAATTTCGTGCTCAATATTTGATTATTCAAAGGAAAGTAAAGGAATTTCGTGAATAAGAAACATTAAAAGCGTACATTCTTGTATATTGTACATTCAAATATAATACTATCCTGAAGTTTGATCAATACTTAATTATATAGGGAATAGCATTATCCATACCATTCATTTCTTATTTTCACATTGTTCATTTCATTTCATTTCATCAGTTCATTTATATTTCCTTTAATAATTTCTATTTTTATTTATGATTCGATTATTAGGATTGTTTTAATTTACAATTTTTTACAATTTAGAATTCATTTGTATTTGTATGAACGAATAATGTAATCAAAAATTTATTTTTTATAAACGAATACAATATAAAAATCATACATTTTTTCCAAAAAACATAAATTTTACATATTTTTGCGCATATTTGTATTATAACAATAATTAATAAATTGTATCAATAAGTTTTAACTATTTTAATATAAATATTTACATATTTATATTAATATATATATATTTTTGGAAAAACTTTTCTTGGATTCAGTAAAACGAGTAATCAAAATAATGTATCATAAGTTTTTTTAAATATTTGAGCTTATCAATTCCTTTTCGTTTAATTTACTATCTACGATTATCTTTATTAACAAAGATAAAATAAGATTATAATTCCGTATCTGTAATAGCTATTTTTTATACAATACGAATATTATTATCTTACCTTTCGCGCTAAGTCCGAAAATATTGTATTGACCAGGACCCGGTCCAGGGCTATCATTTTTCGTTGCATGTCTAAAAATATATATAAAAATACAATTAAATTAATTTAGTAAAAATTATTAATCAAAATTAAAACCAGTAATCGAATCTATGTACCTGCTTCCAAATGAGAAAGCAGGAGCTCTACCTCGTTTGGAATCGGGAACAATTTTTCCTAAAAATTTGTATTTTTTATTTGAAATGTTTTTATTTATTTTAAATTTTAACAATAATCATACTCTATGTCCAAATTATTACCGATCAACGGGGGTAATGTTACACAAGCAGGACCAGGACTATTGTATTCTGCAGCGATAGGACCTCGTCTCTTTGTTGGTGTCCACGGTCTTTGTGTCATACCCATGTTTTTTATAATATATTTACTTTTATCTTTCCTTTCCTAAAAAGAAATAAAATTTTCCTATATTTTTTGAAACAATGAAAAGAAAATTTCTATTTCTAATTTTTAATAGAATCGAATTGCCGATATTTTAAAAATATGTTATGCTAATTTTATTTATAATTCGTTTAATACCAAGTTAATAAAAATATACTGAACATATGCTTTTTCCTATGAGATTCCGAAGAGACTACTTTGGACTTGTGCAATAAATACGACTTTGAAAGATGATCCACGAAAGAAACGATTCACGAATAACCATATAAGAATATGTCCATGGTGGATATCCAGAATCGCCCACCATTTGACATTGGACTGAATAAGACATGAATATAACAAATTGTATAGCGTACAAATAAGCCAAACAAATGCAGATTAAACGAATGACTCATGACCTACTTATAGTATTTTGTTGCTCCATTCGCATATACTAATGGCATAATAATTATAATACGATCTTTAAGTGATTATAGATTTATAATAGATTATAAAATAGATTATAGAAATTTATTAATTAATTATACTTAAAATATGATAAAAATTTTTAGGATTAATTATTGAAATTGATATAAAATGTTTTATATTATTGTTATGATTATAGTGGAAATATCTTTTCCATCTCAATGATATATTTATCTTCTTTAAGAAGTATTTTGTTTTTAATTAAAAAAAATATATACCATATTTTGAAACAAAACCGAAGAAAAAGAAAAAATTAAAAAAAAATGAAAGAAAAAATAATATGACGTAATGATTAAGTATCTATTTGATGTGCAATTGTTAAAAATTGATCTAAATTGATAATAAGTCTTTCTTTATGCGATGGAAGCAAAAGTGGCTTGATCATCATGTGATCGAATTAATATCTTGAAATTATACGAGACATTTTTATAATTATCAAGAATCAATCATTTAATGGAACATACCCAATATGGTAAATGTCAGAGATTCTTAGTCATTCTTACGTACTATATTTCTTATAATCTAATTAAATATGCAATAGGCAGAATATAAAATTAAAACAAAAAAATTTCTCTTATATTCGATTAAAAATATTCGAAAATGTTCAATATAGAAATTATATAATATAAACTAATAAGATAAATAATAAGAACTAATAATTAATTCAAAAATTTTACATACAAAAATGATTTATTATTTCATAAATTTCATAAATTCTATGATTTAATACTAATGTATATTAATGTAAATGTTAATTAAGTTTTTCTAATATTACTTATTATTTATATTGATATTTCATTATTTATTATTGTTTTAATATTTAAAAATTTTAATTTTTTAAATTCTTTATATTTTCTATAATGTATAATGAACGTTAAATATTATCATATCAATTAAGATTTAAATAATCTTAAAATTATTATTAAATAAAGTTAAATTATTCAATTATTAATTACTTATTCATATTTAATCATTTACGAAATGAACGAATGAATGAATGAAGAATAATTAATACAAATTATAGATTATATATTACAAAATTTCATATAAAGAATATGTATTTTAATAGAAATATTATATTATAGTTATTGGACATTAATATTTTAATTAAAAAAAAAATTAAAGACAATCCAAATATTATTGAAATTCTAATAATAATATTATATAATAATATTAATATTAAATATTGTATAATAATATTAATATAATAGATAAATACAATTTACATATAATTGATTATAAAAATATTTATTATAAGTTAAAAATTTAAAATGATTGATTAATAAAATTTTTTACAAATTTAATTCTTCTCCGGTTTCTTTTTCAATATTTCGCAATAATATATTGGAACTAATATTTGATATCTAAAAATTTTATATTCTTGCTTTATTTTATCGAAATAAAAATTCGAAATTCAAAAATTTTTTATAATATTATAAGAAAATAGTTAATTTTAGTTAAGTAATTATATTTTTGCTTGTTTCATCGATTAATATTTATTTATATATTTATTTATTATTATATATACATATTATCTATTTATTATAAATAGATATTATGATAATTAATATATTATATATTATTATAAATTATTTACAGAATATAATATATCAATTTGATTTTATCAAAACTATTATAAATTACGATTTATGTCTTATATGATATTACAATTCATTAATGGCAAATTTATTAATATGCAGCGATGATATAATATTTATTTACATCATATTGGATTATTCAGAATTACTCATCGTAAAAATCTTTTATATATGCGTAATCAAAACTGAAATATCTTTGATGATTATATAAACAAGATTTTTTTCTATGAACAAAGTTTAATATTTAATTTTTTATTGATTAGTTGCTGAAATTAATTGACTCGATTCTTATATTATTGTGCTTTATATGAATAAAAAAATAGAAGAGAAGAAAATTATTATAAAATTATATAATTTTTTTATAAATATAATTAATTAAAATATAATTTTAATTAAAAATATAATTTTAACTACATTCTTACATAATTTATCTATTAATTGATTAAATTTTTATTGGTTTAAAAGATAAATAATATAATAATGATGAAATAAATAAAATTTTAATTGCGATTGTAATTATAAAATAATATTATGCTATTATTTTTAGTAATCTTCAATTTAATAATAATATTTATAATTTTTATCATAAACATTATAAATGAATTTCGTATTTTATTACTATTTTAAAAATTAAAATATGTTATATTGAAATATAATTGATCTCAAACGAAATATTTTATGATTCTTTTAAATTTTTTAAAATATTTAATTCAGATATCATAATAGATTCAGATAATATATACTGAAATAAATATACTAAAAAATATTAAATATAATAATAATGTAAATGTATCGTAATATTTACCTTGACTTTACGAAATGTATTGAGAAAAAGTAGTAGTTTGTTGAAAAAAACCGTGAACAATAACAAAACTGACAGATCAATTTGTAAATTTTTTACAAAAGTTATAGAAATAAGCACCGAGGACTGTCGAATACCTGCACCCGAGGTATGTTTCTGAGCGACTGAAAATTAAACACGCAATCGTGACATGTGCTTCTGTATCCCTACTACGCGATCCTTAATATTATGATTGAAACTATTTGACGCATGCGCTTTTAAACTACAGATATTTATAATATAAAAATATTCTTTATAAATATAATATTAAAAATTTATATATTTTATCTTTTATTTTTTAAGCAATCTTTGCAATTAAATTAAATACATTTTTAAGAAAAGAATGAAAGAAATACGTAAAAAATAAAATTTAAAAAGATATTGATTTTTTATCGATTATCATAAATTTTTCAAATTTAATTCTGTATCTATATTTAGAAAATTATAAAAAAAATTAATCCTTAATATAATGCCTTTGTATTTCATATTTTTCATAAAATTAGGAGAAATAATCTAAGAAACATAATAAAATATTATAAGAAAAAATATTATATATATAAATATTATAAATATATAATATAATATAAATATAATATAAATATATATAAATAATAAAAAATATATATATAATATAAATATATATAAATATTATAAATATATTAAAAATATTATAAAAATAAAAGAAAAGTAGAATGAAATTTTAAATAAATTTTATTTTATTCTCTTAAAGTTTATTTTATTCTCTTTTGAAAAATAAAAAATGCTATATTCAAAAAAGAATTGTATTAAAATGCAATATTTTCGATGTTTCATTTACTTATTGAAAAAAATATTTTCTTGGCTCCTTTATTGGATAGACAGTATTTCGCAACCCACGTACCCTAACGTTCTTGGTTTCCATCCTTGATTTTTGTAACCTTGTGTACTCAAGGCAAAAGACAATTAAAGTTAGGAGTTCACTTTATTGTTAAAAATGTCGATATAAAAAAATGAATATAAAATTTATTTAGTTCAATTTTTAAATACCAAATATACAAAATAAATCACGAGAAAAAAGAATACCTAACTATTTCTATTCCTTATCATTGGATCAAAAAACTTTTCAGGATAAAATTACACTATTTAAAAAATATATAATGATAAAAACAAATTTTTTTTACAATGTTTTTTTTATAAGATTTTAAAAACATCGATCTTTTTTAAAAATATTATTTATTTTTAAGAATTTTTATTATTCGATTTTGAAATATTTAAAAAATATAATGATTATTAATATTTAATAAGTATTAATAGTATATTTTTATATTTTAATATCAAAAGATATATACAATTATCTACATATACATTATATCTACATATACATATACATATATTTACATATTTATTTTCTAATAATTAATAATTCTTTATAAGTGAGAAATATATCTTTTTTAATTGTACAATAAGAAGAATTTAAAAATTTTAAAATTTATAATATTTCTATTTTTTAAATTCCGTATTTAATTATTATATAAATAAAATTTAACTATATATATATTATATATATTAAAATTATTATATTATATTAATTATATTATATTATATATATTAAAATGTTTTATTTTTATTTCAACATTTATTTAATGTTTAACTTTCAATTCGTTTGATGAAAAACATATATTCTTCGTTGTTAGAAGAAATACCACTTAAATTCTGTCTGCTTGACACTTTATCATTCCCCTCTCTTTAACCGCTGACATCACCTTCCACCACAGAACTGGTCAGTAAAGCAGCTCTTACAAGTTAGTTATCTGTATGACAAGTTCAGTACGTTAAGGGATTTACATTTTCTTTGCATCATCACTTTATATTTTTATTTTAATCTATAGAAAGTGTTCAATATCATTATGTCCATCTCTTAATCTATTCATATATCAAAATTCAAACTATAATTTAATATATTTACTTATATAAAGTGAATCTTGATAAATTATAACTAAAGGTGCGTCATTTAATATATTAGAATAAGGAAATTTTAATACTAAATTCATAAATAAATTTATATAGCATAAAATTATAAATTATGTTTATAAATAAATATTATACATATCAAATAAAATAAATGAAACATATAATCAATGATTTTAAATTATTAATAAATTCAATTTAAAATAGAAATTAACATACACAATAATGTAAATTCCCTTTCTCTTTCAATCATTCATCATTATATAATATATATATATAGTATATATAATTTTAATAAAAATATCGATATATATCAGTATATATAATTTCAATAAAAATATTCCATTTAAAAATAATGATTAATGTAATGATTTAAATTCAATTTATTCTTTCGTAAAGTTATGTTATAAGAAATTATCGATTGATTCAATAAGGAAAGGTATTGCTTATCATTTATTTGATCACTTATTCATTTTCTTTTTGAGGCGTGAAGGTAAAACAATTAATAAAACATAAATAAATAATTAATGTACATTAACCGATACAGCTAAGTGAAAATATTTTAATTATTAACTCGGAATATTATAACAATGATAACTATCTTTATTCATTGTCTCACAATGACATTTGATATTCCATCATAGATAAAAAAGCTTGTAACTTTTAGTATTATTGCATGGATTATTTAATGATCAATGAATTCAATGGCATCGTTGTCGACGTTTCTCGTTTGTCTGAATTTGAATTAATGCTAATGACAGGAAACGCATCCGGACAATATTTTTGCTTCCATGCATGATAAATACGTATTTACTTCGTATTTTAGATATAAGATATTATAATTGAATTTATATTTAAATTTATTTAATAAATAAAATATATAGCATGTTAAAAATATTGAATAAAATGTTTTTTCTAAATTATTTAAAAATTATTAATTTCTTATATTATAATATAGAGATAGTTTTCTTCAAGTAAATGTTTGCAAAAATGTAATATGATATAATATTTAATTGCTTTATCAATAATATAAATATATTAATTGACATTAATAACATCATTGCTAAAAATATATCATGATGATTCATTATACTTACACAGATATCAAATAGTATATTTTATTCCAAATATATCAAATAGTATATATATTCCAAATATATAATTTCATATAAAATTTATTAATATTTTATCACATATAAGTTGAAATAAAAAATATTTTATTTAAATTTTTCAATTTTTCAAAGTTTGATAATGAAAAATTTTTAATCTTTTAATAATTATTTTCAGACTCGAATATGGATCTTGAGGATGAAACTTTGCAAATGCATCTTTTGCATGATTATACTACAAATTCTATAAAATCTCAAACAATATATAAGCTACTCTTAGATTATTTACGAACAAAAAATTTTAGACATTTCAAATGTCTTATTGAGCAAAATTTGAAGAAACAACCATCTATCATCAATATAAACTACGCCTATCCGAATCAATCGAATGAAACTTGCTTGGACATCGCTTGCAAGAATGGCCTTTCAGAGTTCGTAAAATTTTTATTGGAAAAAGGGGCGAAGGTGAACAGGATCAACGAAGTCCATAATCGTGGACCAATTCACTTTGCTACCGAAAATGGTCATGCGGATGTCCTTAGTATATTATTGGATGAACCCACGATAAATCCAAATCTGGAGGTTGTACAACAAACAGCTTTGCACATAGCAGTGAAGAAGAATGATCTAAAATGTGCGTCTTTGCTTCTAGAAAAAGGCGCTAGTCCTAATATTCCCAATAACAAAGGTTTAACAGCTTTGCATATAGCGGCCATGAAGGATTATAGAAATATGGTGAACCTAATTTTGGAAAAAACTAAACACGCTTTGAATTTAGATACTTATAAAGATTATAATAACCAAACTACTAGGCAAATATTACAGAAAAAAATACCGAATATTTCATTGCCTCCTATAGAGAAACGAAATGTAAATATTCATGATTTGAAGTATTATTTAAATGCCAATGATGAAATGAATTTTTTAAGATGTCTAAAAATCATTCAAAATGATATGTTAAACAATGATATAGAGAAATTGATTGAAATGGCCGTTCAGAAAAACTTCAAAGAAGCAATCATTCTTTTGCTAGAAAAAACAAAAGAAATTAAATGTAACTTAGAAAAGGCTGCGAATTTAGCAATTCAACGAGGTTTACCACATATTCTTCGACAGATATTGGAAACTGATATTGAAGTTAAAAACGATTTGTTATTAAATGCTTGCATAGAACTCAATATACCACATAAAGGAGGATCCGAAGATATGAGTGATCGTTTGGAATGTTTCAATTTAATCTTGGAAAGAGAGGATATAGATGTTCGATGCATAGATGGTAAGTGTTATACATTTATATTAAATAGTGTCATATATAAAAATAATTTTTATATATATTATACCATAAAAATAAAAAATATCTTGGAAAATATTTTGTATTAGAAATAAATAAAAAAATTTAAAATCGCTTTATCTTAATACATTTATAGTATTAAAATGAACTTTATTAGGATTTTTAAATTTTAAAATAATAAACCATAAAAAACTTTTATATAGGCAAAGGAAATACTCCACTTCATTATGCAGCAAAAGCTGATTGTCGTGAGGCGGTGACATTGTTACTCGAAAAAGGAAGCTATATCGGTCACATGAACAATTTCGGCATTCCACCAGTTGCTGATATTTCTATATCTACTTTATCTCAATATTTTGATGACTGCATAGTAGCTAGAAAAGAGCGAACGAACGAATATACAATTGAATTTGATTACAAATGTTTAATGCCTCACGATAATTCGTACATGATAAATCAACAAAAAAATTTAAAAAATCAAGAAAAACGAGAAATGGATATTTTCCAATATATTGCTAACAATAATAGTTTGAAACACTTGTTAAAACATCCTTTGTTGTCATCTTTTTTATATCTCAAATGGCATCGAATAAGATACATTTTGTATCTGAACTTTGCATTTTACATTTTATTTTATCTTCTGTTAAATATCTATATCTTGCAAATTACTTACGTAAAAGATACACAAATGTCGACGAATTCGAGTGAACAGATGAATGGAGAAATAAAAAATTCAATGTCGATCTATGTTTTACAAATATTTACTGGCATTGTGACA